TTCGTTTTATTTTTGATTCTAAATTATTTTAATTATTTACTGTATTTTATTTTTATAATTATTTTTATTTTTCATATGTTTTATTCTAAACTGTTCTAATTATTCTGATTTCTTTTGATTATTTTAATTTTTTCTATGTAAAGCACTTTGAATTGCCATTGTGTATGAAATGTGCTACATAAATAAACTTGCCTTACCTACCTACAAGTATTAACTTTCACATGCAGTTACACATTAACCTACCTACCAGTATTAAATAAAAATAAAAAAAAAATCAAACAACCCCTACAACCCCACATGTTGTTTGAGAGGGTTTCAAGAAAGATCCTCCTCACTCCTCCAAAAACAAACTCCAGCATATTCAGGTGTCAAACACGACTGGATCTTCAAATGGCACAGGGTTCTGTGGTCAGATGAGACTAAAAAAAGAGCTTTTTGGCAGTAAGCACACTAGATAGTTTGGTGGACATGAGGATAAAAAGTACCATGTGTACAATTTAATAAACCATTGGATCTTTAATGTTGGGGACCTATTTTTCACCAGGAGGTCCTGGACTTCTTATTCAGACACATGGCATTGTGGATTCTATTAAACATCAAAAGATAAAAAATCAAAACCTGACACCTTCTGCTAGAAATCTTATTATGGGCCATGGTTGGATCTGCCATCTGGACAAAGATCCAAGACAAACATCAAAATCAACACAAAAATTTGTTAGGGAGCACAAAATGAAGCTTCTGCCATGACCGTCCCAGAACCCTATAGAAAATGAGTGGTCCGAACTGAAGAGAAGAAGCACAAACATGGATCTGGGAATCTGAAGGATCTGAAGAGTCTGTATGGAGGAATGGTCTCTGATCTCAGGTCAGGTGTTGTCCAAACACATCAGGCATTATAGCAGAAAACTCAGAGCAGTTATCTTGGCAAAAAGATATTGCAAAAAGGTATTTAATAAAAGGGTATGAGTAATTGTGGCCAACGTGTTTTGGAAAAAAACATTTATTTTATAATGTGATCCCACATTACATATTAACAAACATACCTACCAACCAGTATTAACGTTCACATAGTTACACATAAACCAACCTACCAGTATTAACTTTCACATACAGTTACACATTAACCAACCTACCTACAAGTATTAACTTTCACATACAGTTACACATTAACCAACCTACCTACAAGTATTAACTTTCACATGCAGTTACACATTAACCTACCTACCTACCTACCAGTATTAACTTTCACATACAGTTACACATTAACCTACCTACTGTATTAACTTTCACATACAGTTACACATTAACCAACCTACCTACCTATAAGTATTAACTTTCACATGCAGTTACACATTAACCAACCTACCTACAAGTATTAACTTTCACATGCAGTTACACATTAACCTACCTACCTACCTACCAGTATTAACTTTCACATACAGTTACACATTAACCTACCTACTGTATTAACTTTCACATACAGTTACACATTAACCAACCTACCTACTGTATTAACTTTCACATACAGTTACACATTAACCTACCTACCTACCTACCAGTATTAACTTTCACATACAGTTACACATTAACCTACCTACCAGTATTAACTTTCACATACAGTTACACATTAACCTACCTACCTACCAGTATTAACTTTCACATACAGTTACACATTAACCTACCTACCTACCAGTATTAACTTTCACATACAGTTACACATTAACCAACCTACCTACCTACAAGTATTAACTTTAACATGCAGTTACACATTAACCTACCTACCAGTATTAACTTTCACATACAGTTACACATTAACCTACCTACCTACCAGTATTAACTTTCACATGCAGTTACACATTAACCAACCTACCTACCTACCTACCTACCTACAAGTATTAACTTTAACATGCAGTTACACATTAACCTACCTACCAGTATTAACTTTCACATACAGTTACACATTAACCTACCTACCAGTATTAACTTTCACATACAGTTACACATTAACCTACCTACCTACCAGTATTAACTTTCACATACAGTTACACATTAACCAACCTACCTACCTACCAGTATTAACTTTCACATACAGTTACACATTAACCTACCTACCTACCAGTATTAACTTTCACATACAGTTACACATTAAGCAACCTACCTACCTACCAGTATTAACTTTCACATACAGTTACACATTAACCTACCTACCTACCAGTATTAACTTTCACATACAGTTACACATTAACCTACCTACCAGTATTAACTTTCACATACAGTTACACATTAACCTACCTACCTACAAGTATTAACTTTCACATGCAGTTACACATTGACCTACCTATCAGTATTAACTTTCATAGTTACACATAAACCAACCTATCAGTATTAACTTTCACATAAAGTTACTCATTAACTTTCACATGCAGTTACACATTAACTTTCACATACAGTTACTCATTATCGTTCGCATGCTGTTACTCGTCATTTCACATGCAGGTACTCATCATTTTTCACAGGCAGGTACTCGTTAACTTTCACATGAAGCTACTCATTAACTTTCGCTTGCAATTACTCAACAACTTTCTCACGCAGTTACCTATCGATTTTCACCAGCAGTTACACATTAGCTTTCACATGCAGTTACACATCAACTTTCACAAGCAGTTACTCGTCGCCTTTCGCATGCCGTTACTCATTAACTTCGCTTGCAAGTTACTCATTAACTTCAGTGCAGTTACTTATCATTTCACATGCAGCTACTCATAAACTTCGCTTACAAATTACTCATCAACTTTCAGATGCAGTTCCACATCAACTTTCTCTGCAGTTACACATAGACTTTCACATGCAGTTACCGGTTAACTTCGCTTGCAGTTACTCATTACCTTTCACATGCTTGCTACTCGTCTTTCACATGCAAGTACTCATATCTTTCACATGCAGCTACTCGTTACCTTTCGCATGCAGCTACTGGACATTTTCCGATGCAGTTACATATCGATTTTCACTGCAGTTACACATTAGCTTTCGCATGCAGTTACACATTAACTTTCACTGCAGTTACTCGTTGCCTTTCGCATGCAGCTACTCATTAACTTCGCTTGCAAGTTACTCATTAACTTCACGTACAGCTACTCACCATTTCACTGCAGTTACACGTTAACTTCGCTTGCAAGTTACTCATACTTTCACCTCAAGTTACTCGTACTTTCACCTGCAGTTACACATTAATTATCACACGCAGTTACACATATGACTTTCGCAAGCATTTACTCAATAACTTTCACCAGCAGTTACACATTAACTTCCACTTGCAGCTACTCATAAACTTCATCTGCAGATACTCATTAACAGTAACATGCACTTTACTCATCGACTTTCACCTGTAGTTACACATAGACTTTCACTGCAGTTACACATCGACTTTCACAGCAGTTACTAAATAACTTTTACATGCAGTTACTCATTAACTTTCACATGCAGTTACACATTAACTCTCACATGCAGTTACACATTAACTCACATGCAGTTACACATTAACTCACATGCAGTTACACATTAACTCTCACATACAGTTACTCATTAACTCTCACATACAGTTACTCATTAACTCTCACATGCAGTTACACATTAACTCAAATGTAGATACACATTAACTTTCACATGCAGTTACACGGTAACACTTTACAATAAGGTTCGTTAGTTAACATTAGTTAACTACATTAGTTAATATGAACTAATAATGAATAGCACATATACAGCATTTGTTAATCTTTGTTAATGTTATTTTCAACATTTACTAATACTTGATTAAAATCTTGTTAACATTAGTTAATTCACCGTGAACTAACATGAACAAACAATGAACAGCTGTGTTTTCATGAACTAACATTAACAAAGATGAACAAATGCAGTAACAAATGTATTGCTCATGGTTAGTGCACGTTAGTAAATACATTAACTAATGAACCTTATTGTAAAGTGTTACCAGTTACACATTGTCGGTTAAAAACAAGAAAGTGGCTAGTAAAAACGTCGAGTGGCTGGTCGATTTTGAAATCCACAGTGGCCGCCGGTGGACAAAAGAGTTGATTTCCATCCCTGCTTGGTAATGTCAAGGTGTCATAACAAAGACATCTCAAACAATGTCATATTTGCATTAAAACTTTCATAACTGAGCAAAAGACACTTAATGACAGTTGTCACAAACATGCATAAACCTTCCTTCATATTCATAATACATCATGTTAGTCTTATGCATACCCCTTCAAGTAAAGTGTTACCAAAGAATGACTCTGAGACAGTTCATAAGAGAAACGTGTGCAGGATTCCGTGTTGCAAGAATGCTGTCTTGACGAAGCCTAACTTGCTTGATAAATTAAATATTAAAAAATATATTACATTTATGAGTCAGAGCAGGAATCAAGGCTACATTCGAATAAACAAAGCCAGCGGAGCGATTATCTCTGTCCATCTTGAGGAATGAAAACGGTTGAACCAAAGAACGTATATTGACAAGAAGTGAACGCTCCATTGCAACACAAGTATTTTGCAGTATTATCTTATATTAATGACCGTTAAAACAAAACTATGTAAACAAAAAAAAAACACAGCCACTGTTCAAAGTGGCAATTAAAGTTATAGGATAACGGACACAGCGCATCAATGATCATCATGTTTGTAGCATGATCCAGGGGATTAAAACGTACAAAATATATTTCAGGCCTAATGGAGTTGGTAACTAATATAAGTAGTAAATGTGTAAAGTTGCATACAATGGAAATACCATAGACTGTAAAAAATATGGACAAAGCGTCTGTGACGTCACTCATAGACTTTCTGAAGAACAGGTTTGAGGCTGTTTATGGGGGGTATGGGCGGCACCATATTAGAAAATCTTGAGAAATACAAAATACAAATGTTCAGAAATACAAATGTTTCAGAAAGGATACAGAGATGCGTCGTGTCAGATCATGGCCAAGACGTCCAATTCCACTCGGCGCAGCCCGTTATCAGCTGTCAATCAAAGTTAACCGCCCTTATTTTTCATACATTTTACATCCAAATACGATCTAAACTAACGAGTTAGAAAAAATTCACTCACCTCACAGTTGTCAGGCACTCGGAACCTATCGAAAAATACAATAAAAGTCAAACTGTAAACATATGAATTGATGCTGTGAAAACGGACATTTTAATGTGAGGTCTATGGATATTCACCCCCTTTTGGGACCGACCTCTAGCGGATTTTCGATGTATTGCAGTTTTTCCCACTTCCGGGTAGGCTTCATTTTTCAGATTAGAATTTTGCCGCTTGGGAAAAATTAGAAGAAAAAACTACCTCAAAAAACTGTTATCTATGCTGTTGTCCAGTAACTCCAGTTGGAATTTTCACCCCAAAATGGCGGCCGCGCTCCTGAAACGCCACCTAGTGGCTTTTACCAAAAAAGCATCAGAGTTTTGCTTTTTGTTCTTCTATACTCTTTGGTTGAACTCTGACCAATAAGACGATCGTTTTATACACGTGGCTTGCATAAACACATTTTTATGCCAGCTCCACTGGAATTAACAGAAAACGAACCCGTGGCAACCAACATATCTCTGGTAAGAGACGGCTAAAATATTTTATTTTGGGGAAAAGTATTTTGTTTGGGTTGCCAAAGAGTGGCTGAACCATACTGAATGCGTCTGATCCCGGCTGGGGTGTGAGAGTTTATAACTTTAAAGCGGAAGATCCAAGAGGGGTCTGTCTGGGGTTGAACTGCGACTTACAATTTAACACTGGGTGCAACCTTTCTGGTCTTGGGTGAAGTGACCAGGTCTGTTGGAGACGTCCGACAGACTATAGACGGGTCGAAAGAGAAAAACCTCGGGCCGGGCGGAACAATCAGTATGGGGAAAGCCCAGAGTAAGCATGCAAATTATGATACGCCAGTTTTCTGGCAAATGAAAAAGATATATGGGGGAAAATATATGTTAGATTGAAACCTGATCAAATATCATGACTTCCCTAGAGAGGGAACACTGAGCACTACTAGACTGGGAGTGGTGCGGGAGTCAGTGGAACAAAGCAGCGAGGCTGCGCTAGGCATGGATGTGGAAAATGTGAACAGACAGTGGACGTTTGGCTTGAGGAAGCTGATAGAGAGAAAAGAAAAAATTCCGAGAGAATTCATGGAACTATTTGATAAGTCAGATTAAATTGAACTTGTATGAAAAAATAAGTTTCAGATAAAACTAGTAAGAGCATTGAGTATGATTAACAGTTATATAAAGATAAGAAATGTTTCATTAAGCAGAATGGGGAACAATTTTATATTTTAGTGGTAAAATAATGATTGAAATTATGTTTAATTTTGGTTTGACAACCATTGGGGGTAGTGAAAAGAATGGACTTACTATCCATCTTCATTTATTATAAAACGAATTGAAACTATAATTTTGTAAAAAACGAATGCGTATATCTTGGTATTTATGATTATAGACTATGTCTGTATTTAATATCTGAGGAGTGACTGAGGGTCCAGCTATGCTGGGAGTACAGTGACAGTGTTTGCTTATTCAGCCCGGCTTCCGGATGTTAGATATGTACTTGTTCTGTAATTAGTGTTGTTGATGGTAATATCAAATTAGTAAAAGACAGCTATGTCCAAAGATTGTGGAAATCAGTAAGGTTGATTGACATTGAAATAAAATATTGTTTTATAAAATTTTTATAATTTTGGGTCAGGGATAATTTCCCAGGATAATTTCCCAGGACAAAGTAGTCAAGAAACTTCGTGAAAACAACTTAGAATATTTTGAGCATTTCGATGCGGCTATGAAAATTAATGTTCTGTCAATAAGAAGATTATGATTGGGCTATTGTGATTATGTCCACCACTGGTGGACTGTAAGGAATACAGAGAACTGCTTATCAGTGGCTCTGTGTGCATTCCTGAATGGGACACCACTGCTTCAAGTGTGTGCAGTAAGTTGGAGCTGACAGAGAGTGTTTTAATTGTGGTCAGCAGGAACACTTAACGCGTAACGGTAAATGTCCACGATAAGGTGTTTTTGAAAATGTGATAGAGACTCATTTTTGGTAATAATGTGGGTTTGAAAGTAAATCAGTTTAAATGACAACATTAACATTTTTCGTCTGAGAAATAAGAAATAAAAACAAGGTCAAGTGAATTGAAGAAAACAGTTTGCTGTAAAATTAATGACTCCAACAAATGTGAGTTGCAAAGACATATATAAAGGTAACTAAAAGGATGATTGTGTTGTAAGTAAACATTTTAAAAAGGTTTTAGTTGATATAGAGAGACTAATCTCACAGATGATTTACAATAACTGCAGCGCATCACAAGCAGAGAGTGCTAACCTTGTCAGAACTTAACAATTAAAATTGAGAGAAATATGAAAGGTTATTGAGGACTAGATAAATTATTTTGTGTTTACGATCAAATAAGCAGAAAGCAGCTAAATGCTGATTAAACAAAGAGCTTGAAGAGTTGACTATGAAAGAACTAGAAGCTGATGTTTTTCTTTCAAAAGATAAGTTTGAAACAGTTTGCTTATCTGAATCTGATGTGTACTGTGGCTGAAAGCTGCCAGTGCAACAGACTCAATCTGAGAGGAAAATTAGTAATGCCAAATTCCCTGATGTGGGCAAAAGACACATTTAAATAACATGTTTATTTGAAACCGTATGTAATTTCTGGCAAAGATGCCTTAAGCTGGAATAGAGATAAAGTTTGATGTTAGAAGTTTATGAGTGTGCAGTACCAGTCCTGAATTCCTCAGTCTCTCTCGTCCAGTGTCAGCTAAAGTTGTGATCTGAGCCTGTGTCATAAGTGATAATAAACTGTTTGTAGCTAAGCACAGTGTTTCAGTTGAAGATCATAGACAGAGAGATGTTAAAAGAAATCATTGCCATTCAGAGGGCAATTGGTATTTTACATGTTTTAAAAGTAAAACTGAATTACTTTAACCCTTATGCTGCATTAGGGACATTTTTGGTCTTTTGCAGTTTAATTTCTTTGACCATTTGGCTGTTTTAATGCAAATGGTATGACATTTGGCAAAAGTTTGTGAGCTGGGTCATGCATCAAAAGGGGATGGTAACAATTGCCAAATATGGTTTACTGAGGGGTTCAAATTTGAAACTACGCGTACTTCACTATATGAAAATAACCTCGGCATTTGTTTTCTGTACAGATCATGCAGACTTCTATCTGAAAATAACCTCGACATTGTTTTTCTCTACAGATCATGTGGACTTTTAAGACATGAGCAGAATGTGTCTAATAAAATAATGGCTGTGGATGAATTTGGCTAACTACCCTGGCATGGGTTTTTAGTGTGGTGGAAAGGCGTCACACCTGTGCAGCGCATAACTAAGATTTTTCCTTTTACAGAATCTCAGGATGGATTGCAGCAAACAGAACTGATTCTGTT